GTAGTCAGAAGAGGGTAGTGAATTCCTTTGAATTGTAGTTATTATGGGTGAGTCTTGGCTGCCATGTGGGTGCTGAGACACAAACCTGGGTCCACTGTCAGAATAACAATTGTTCTTAACTGCTGAGCCTTCTCTGTAGACTGGTACACATATATAATCCCAACACTCAGGAGGCAGACACAGGTAGATCTCTGGGATGTCAGGGCCAAACTGATCTACATAGAGACCTTCAGGTCTAACTAGAACTTCAAAGATAAACCCTTTTTCCAACAACATAATAGCAGCAACACCTGACATTTATAATACTATAAAAATCAAATACATAGGGGAAATTAAATATGTAACACTAATACACATAATTATGTAAATAGAGCAATAAGGAAGAACAGAGAATTCAGAACAGGTGAGCACATATAGATACCTGACTTAAGAAACAAAGTGATTGACAGACTTTGAAGATTCCCCCATGGAAGGCCTCACCCTCCCTGGGGAGCAGAAAGGGGATGGAATAGGGGGTTGGGGAGCAGGGGAGGCGGGGAGCAGGGGAGGCGGGGAGCAGGGGAGGCGGGGAGGGAGAGTGAACTGGTATTGACATGTAAAAGAAGCTTGTTTCTAATTTAAAATCGGTCTAATTACAATTATAAAAATAAAAAACAAACAAGGTGGTACTTTCGTTCATGAGGAAAAGACGAGCTTTTTAATAAGTGTTGCAAAATTTGCAACATATTGTTAGAAATGGAGAAAAAGAAATATCACTTCTAGAAAATAATATTATAATTGGAGCAAAAATCTAAATGTGTAAGGCAAAAATATTAAAAAGTAGTGTGTTGGATTTGAGCAAAAAAATAGAAATAGCATAGGAAACCATTGTTTCAAATTATGTACTTACTTATTTTACATTTTGCACATATGTGGAGGTCAGAGGTCATCTTGAAAGAATCAGTTCTTGCCTTGTACCGTGTGGGCTCTGGGGATCAAACTCAGGTCATCACATTTGGAGACAAATACCTTTTATTCACTGAGCCATTTCACTGGCCAACAAAATCATTATTAATAAAAATGATGATGTAGAATTGAGCATTATGAATTTTTAATCAAAAACCCTAGAGAGTAAAACAATAAGCTACAGATGATTATAAAAAGTGATGAGACTAGTATATCTAAAGAACCACAGATCAACAACGACAGGCAAATATGATAGTCAAAATGATTGAACTGCTTGATCAAGTACATTTTGAAGCAAATTCTTGTTATGTAGCCTGTAGTATGTATACTGTCAAATTCATGGATGTCCTCTTGTTTCAGTCCCTTTAACACTAGAATTGCAGGTATGACTCACACAGCTAGATGAATCAGATGCTCTTGTATACATATTAACGTTATCAGTATAACTCTGCATTGTTTTTAGTGGTGCTGAAGACTGGAGTCAGATGGAGCCTTGTGATACAAGGGTTTGAACACTTTCAAACATTGAGCTGTATCCAATCTTGATAGGATACTTTTGAAGAGGAAATACTCAAATGGACATTGAATACATGAAACACTTCTCAACATCACCAATTGGCAGGGAATTGAAAATTAAAGCATGAAGAGGGGCTGAAGAGATGGCTCAGTAGTTAAAGAGCACTTGCTGCTCTTGCAGTGGACCTGAGTTTGGCTCTCAGAACCCATGTCAGTTGGCTTAGAACTGCCTGTAACTTCATTTCTAGGGTATCCAATGCCCTCTTCTGGATTTTGTGAGCATCTGCTCTCACAACACATACCAACACACACATACACATAATTAAACAAATTATCCAGAAAGCTATTGTGGACATCTGTTCTTACAACACATACCAATATACACATACACATAATTAAACAAGTTATCCAATTATCCAG